ACTTCGCTCACTTCAGCTTTTCACCGACTATAAGTAGCTCACCCACCCCGGAGTCCCCTCCCCTTGAAAAATCCCGTTTCCTGGCTCGCCATACGTTTTTTGCACGTTTCGATGCTTTGGCAGCCGCTGCCTCTATCCGTCTGCGTCACAGGGTTTCGTAACAGGACCATGCACAAAAGTTCAAGATGTCACGTAACCAAAATCTACAGTCATGATCCCTAAAACGATAAAGCGTGGAAGGGGCGTGGATCGGAACGCTGCCAGAGGATGTTTTTCACCAGTGAAGTCATTATGAGCAGTCGGCGAGAAAGGGCTGCCTTGGCTGCGCTTCAGTCCACGCGCCTTTGTATGTTCTATAGTTTGCAGGGTCATGACGTAGGAACGGGGCGGGGTTGCCAGTAGTGTCTGTGCACAGCATTTGCACCAGCAACTTCAGCTCTTTTTAACGTAGAACTGCTGCAGTATGTCAACTTTCCAGGGAATACTGCGGTAGATTCTGCCCGTCCTAAATTACTTCCCACGGAAAGAAGCTCACTGCGCCCCGATGATGCACCTTTCTGACCGAGTTTGCTTTATTTCGAGGCCACGATTTGCTGCTTGAAGGATGACATGTCCATGGTACTGTACGTTTTGACCACCTCCTTTTATGTGCTCCAGGAGAGTCTTATTAACTAAGCTGGTCCCCAGTCAGTCGAGGCTTGTCAACGGCATGCGTTTGGCACAGTGCCCAGTTCCTTCCCTACCAGTCATTGAAGGCCCGAACGGCAGCGATTGATGGAATACGTGCTGATGCTGCGCCGAAACCCACGCTGAGCTGACTCCACCCCGTCCCCCCCCACTGACTTTAGTGATAAGGGCTGTATTTGAGTTGAATCTTATCGTAGCCAGCTTGACACTGCTCATTTTCAGAAACTTATCTGATGGCGGACCCAGACGAGCGACCGCTTCCAGCAGGCTGGGAAAAGCGCATGAGTCGCACGAACAACCAGGAGTACTACTACAACCAAGCAACTGGTCGAAGTCAGTGGGAACGTCCCACGGAGCCGGCGTTTGGAAAAGGTTCAGATCTCAAACAAGTTCGAGCAGCTCATCTTCTTGTGAAACATGCTGGTAGCCGTCGTCCGTCAAGTTGGAGATCCGACAACATAACCCGAACTAAGGAAGATGCAAGAAATATTCTAAAGGAGTATGTTCGTCAAATTCAAAACTCGAGCAATCCCGAAGCTACATTCAGAAAATTGGCGCAGCAATTCAGTGACTGCAGCTCAGCGAAAAGAGGTGGTGATCTAGGTGGGTTATTTTGCATTTTAAGCTAATTTTATCACTTTCTCCTGTTTTT